TCTTTGTAATTGAGTTGAACTGAATTTAAAAGCTGTTTGAATTTAAAAGTGTACATTTTTCCCATTCTCTCCACCACAACACGGCCTTGCTCAACTGGCCAGTTTTATATATAAGCCATTGCTGATGTTAAAGAAAAAAAAAAACCCCAAACAGCTGAACCACTTAATAATGAGGGGACATAAAAGAACTGTCCAGGCTGGCAGGAATGTGTCTGAAAGCCTGGTGTGGATATTGCCTGCCTCCTCAACATCTGTGAACATGAGGACATCAGTCTGTGATAGGCCAGGGCTCTGGAAATAGAAGATTGTTACAATCATATTTTAAAACAACTTAAAGCTGTCATTTTTAAATGTTGTGACTTTCCCTTCCTTTCAAATGTTGCAATTTTCTGCCCCTCCACTGAAAAACTGTGAAAAGAAATTGTAAATTCCAAAATGTTATCTCAAATGTCAGCATGGCTAGGAGACTGTATCACATCAGTGGTCACGCATCAAAAAATGTTAATGTAAATCTTGAGTTGTGCCAAAACTGCACGTAGGCTTCAAACTCGGGATGGGTGAAGAGCTGTACATTTTGAGTATAAATACTGGAATGAACGTGTGTTGCTTTGAGCAAGTTTTTGGGTAAGGATGCTGACTCATCTCCCTATAACTTGGTTAAAGAAATTAAACACTCCCTTTTCACCAATTTCTACCTCTCATTTTTGGCCACGAGAGAAAGAAGCTGATTGTTGCCCGGGCCTTTTACCAGGACCACTGGACTGGTGCTTGCTTGGCAGTCTCCCAGGACAGCAAAGTAATCCCAGGATGGCCAGCTTCATCCCTGTGTCCATCTGCTGCCGCCTCATGGACATAGGGTCACATGATCCCTCCAGAACCTGGAGGATGCTGGTAGGAGTGGGGCTTGGCATGGAACTGGGGCTTGACCCCCCTGCAAGATGCACAGGGCTCCTCCAGATGCTCCTACCATTACTCTAGGCCATGCCCAGTTTCTCATTGTTCTTTCCCCAATCCATGGGCTGCCCCCCATGCATGCTGCCCACCCTTTCTATGGCCCTTTGCCTGAAGGTGGGCCTGAACCTCGCTGGTGCCCCTCGCTCAGGTTCTGGAGGCTTTCAGAGGGGGAATATCACAAGCCAGCCCTCCCTCTGGAGGGCTTCAGGGTGACGAATCTCTCACAGCAAAGAAGGGGCTTTGGATTTCTGGCTGAGGGTGCTGGTGAAGCCATACCCAGCTGACTAAGTCTGGGGTCTCCTCTGGGGTCTCCCTCTGCTCTCTGGAGTCTCCTCTGCTTGTTAACTTCATTCCAGGAAGGAGGAGTGGCATAAACAGAGGGGCACAGAGAGGCAGAGACAGTTCGGAGAGGCACTGGAGGCTGGTGGGGAAAGCGGGAGTGGAAGCAAGGCCTGTCACCACCTTGGTGACCAGGCAGGAGGGGAGCAGGTTTGGGTCAGGGCTCCTTATGATAACTTTGTGAGAACCAGGAAAAGGCACCTCCTTTGGCAATGCAGGGTGTAGAGACTGGGCTGGATCCCAGGATGGTGGCAGGACCTGTAGGTACTTGGCCAGGGTGGGCTCGGTGAGAAGTGGCTCTGAGGGGCTCCAGGCTGCTCAGCCATTGTGGGACTTGGTGCTCCTAACACACACATTTCACTCGCATGAGCTAAAATAACACACACTCGCAACTCATACACATACCCTCACATGTTTCACACACGTTTCACACACAAACACATAATTCTGCAAACACATGCCACACACACTTTGACCTACCTGCACACACATACATTTTCTCTCTCATATGGCATATACATTTATATACACTCATGCTCACATGCAAACACACCCTCGCACCCGCAAATCACAGACACACAGCTTACAAGTCATGATTTTAATTTCCAGAACCCAAAATGGGGCCTGGCACCGAGGGTGCTGCCAACTACTCAGTGATCTGACATGCATGGGTTATTCTTCCTACCCGTGAGTGCATTCTTCCAAAGAAAAAGATCTAAAATAGTATAAACTAAATTGCAAAACCGTGGTTTTGCAATTAACACGCTATCTTTATTTTTTAAAAATCAACTCTGCATGAAATAAAAATTCACACAAAGTGATGTGCGTTCTAGCGTGGGACTGTGTGGCGTCCTTGGTAGGTGGCAGTGGGACTCCCTACAAGGTGGGTCTGTTCCCAGAAGATTCAGGGCCTGACCCAGATGCTCCGGCCTCCACTTCATATCCTGGCCAAGAGCGGGCAACTCCTGCACTGTGTGAACGGACAGGATCTCCAGGGAACCCAACTGGTTTGTGTGTATGGCAGTTGGGTGGGGAGGTAGAGGGCTAAGACAGAACAGGAAAATCCACAGTCCCAGGAGGTGACCAGCCAAGCGGAGGAAGGAGACTAAGGGTAAGTCATGTTGAAGCCAAACCCAGCCCTGCCCACTGCATGAGGGACTTCAAGAATCAGGCCCCTTTGTGACAGACCTTCCTGGGTTCATCTTAGGTTCAGGGGTTGCATTTAGTGCATGCCCAAAACATGAGTGATAGGGGACAGGGATCAACCTGTGACTAGGATCAGGGATCAGAGTGTGACCAGGATCATGGCTCAGTGTGTGACTGGGGTCAGGGCTCAGGTTGTGACCCTAATCAGGGCTTGTTGGGTGACCAGAGCCAGAGTTCAGAGTGATTATAGTGAGGGCCAGTTTTAGGCTGAAGTCAGAGTTCAGCTCATGGTCAGGGGTGGGGCTTTAGGGTGTTATGGCCATAGTCTTCAGCATTTGAGTTACGGCCATCCTTAGATCAGTGTCTCACCCTTAGCACAACTGAAATTGGGGCCGTCCTGTGCACTGCAGAGTGTTGCACAGATCCTTGACCTGGACCCTCTAGGGCCAGTAGCACCCCTGGGCTGGGACAAGGAAAATGTCTCCAGGCATTGACAAATGTGCCCTGGGTAGGGCAGAAATGCCCCTGTGAGAACCACTGCCTTAGAGCAATCACTTCATATCAAATCAGATCCACAAATATTTACACACTTGTAATATTTGAGGAATGAACGTCACAGGTTGGTGTTAAGAGCCACTGCCTTAAATACAGATAAGAAGTTCTGAACTCTGGGGTGGCCAGAGTCCCAGTGAGCTGGGGCTGGGGGTGCAGGGAGGATGGGACTGACAGGCAGCCAGCCACACACAGAAACAGTGAAGTCACAGTATCCTAATTACTGTGTGAGGTACCCCTCCCTGAGCTTACAGGACTATGGGCTGGAGGGGGATGTTCACAGAGAAAGTTCTGGCTGGACAGAGTGGGCAAGGAAGCATCCTGTGGAGGAAGTTGTACTCACCCTGTGTGACCTTGAGCAAGTCACCACCCCTCTCTGGGCCCCAGAGCTCTCCCCTGCCAAAGGAGAGATAATTTCCATGGAAAAGAGCCCAACCTGGTAGGTACCAGGAAGCTGGGCAATGGAGACCCCAGAGGGTCCAGGGCTGACCTGAGGTTCTGGGCCTGGGGTCCCACAGGCAGGTTTGTCAGTCCTACTGAGTCCCAAGGAGGTCTAGGTCTTGTGTCATCTTGACTCACATTGGTTGTGTCATCTTGATCCAGGACTCAAGGTGAAAACTTGGGAGCTGATGTCCCCCAGGTCCCCTGGAGCTCCCTGGCCTTCCCAGACAGGCCAGGCATGCTGGTGAGGGGTAGGGGAGGCAGTTCTCTGATGCTCTTCCTTCTCGCAACATTCTCACCTGCCCCCAAAATGCCCCAGAGCCCTTTTCGGGGTGGGTGGGGGGTGGGATAACCAAGGAGGGAAGAGCAAGAATGAAGGTCAGACATACCCTGAGCAGGAACAAGAGCATCAGGGAGGAAAGAGACCTTTCTCCCTCCAGACACACTCAGCAGGCAGCCAGTGGCCATGACCAGTGCTTCTGTCCACCAGCGTCCAGCCAGAACAACGGCATGCCAAAGGGGTCCGCAGGGCGAGTCTAGGAGAGGGACCGTAGATGAGGGTGGGGATTAGGTTGAGGGAGACAACAGGGACCACAAGTTGCCCCAAAGCCAGATGCAGCAGGAAGCGACTTCCTTGGACTTAGAGGGATGAGAGGAAGGCACAGTGACCAAGGCTGGCCAGAGCCTGTGGAATAGAAGGCTGACCGACAGGACCTGACCCTGCTTTAGAGGACCACTGCCACCACTACTTAGCAATCAGGACACCAGTCGCAGAATCAGTCTCAGTTGTGTCCCACCCTGCACCCTCCAATCTCTTTCCAGGGGAAGCTGACCAGCCTTTCAGTACACAGAAGGGGGGGCAGGGAATGGGTCTGGTGCCTCCTGCTACAGCAGAGGCTGCTAAAAGCTGCATTTCCTGACTCCCTTGCAGCTAAAATTCCAAATGTGGAATTAAACAAGGTCCTGAGGGTAAAGCATCCAGCCCAGGGTCTCTCGTGCACTAAGTGCTCCATAACTGTGAGTCTAGATGTCAAGCTCCCCAGGGAGCCCCCAGCCCCTGACACAGCTTTAGCAGCCCGCCCTTCTCTTTCACAGTGATTGCTGCTGATCTGTTTGTGACACTTTGATCAAGGCCCATTACCCCATGGACCATAGGGCCGAGGAGCCCAGCATGGCTTCTGTACAGAGCACAGGGACCCGAAGAAAGTGCTCTTATCCTTGGCTGGAAGACTGAGAGTGATGAATCTGGAGAAAGCTCCTGGCTTGTCTGACCTTACTCTGTGAGGTGGGGAGTTGTAGACTGGGGCCTCAGGACTCTCCAGCCCTTGGCCTGGGGGTGGCTGGAAAACACCCAGAGCGGGCTCTGCCCTCTGGAGGCAGAAAGAAGGGCAAAGGGAGAGAAAGGTGCAGGCGCAGGGGAGGAGATTAGGACCTGCCCAGCCCTCAGGCCCTCACTGGCTCTAGGGAACTCACTGGCTTTTGACTGTGGGTGGTACAGCCTGTCTCACCAGTTGAAGCCATATAAAGCCACCTGAGGCCCGCTGCTTCACCGCCACCCATTCATCACCATGAAGGCCGTCCTCCTTGCCCTGCTGGCCGCTGGCTTGGCGCTGCAGCCAGGTGAGGCCTTGGCCAGCCCCTCTGCAGGACTGGGAGTAGGGGTGAGCGAGGGAGGCCAGGGCAGACAGACAGGAGGAAAAGAAAGGGAGGAAGGAGGAGGGAAGAGGAAGGAGGGGGACCAAGTGGAAGGAAGGAAGGCTGCAAGGAGGGGGACTTTGGGCACAACCAGGATGTGGTCATGTCTTATTCATGCAGTGACATATTTCTTGCCGTCCTGGGAAAGGCAGGTTTGGAGGAGTAGCACCAGGCTGCTCTCCACCACTGTGGGGCAGAAACTGGTTCCTGGAGAGGCAGACTGGACGGAAAGACAGAGAAGCTAACAAACAGCCAGGAGGCACAGGGGCAAAAGACTCAAGCTAAAAAGTGCCCTAAAGGGAAGGAGGAGGAATGAATGAGGAAGGGGTGCTGGGCTGTCCTAAGAGGACCTGGGACCCTACTCCCTGGGCCGCCTTGGCTCTCCCTGGTGTCCAGTTAGTTCCTACTCCAGTGAGGGTCTTGGGGAGGGTGCCAGCCTGTGCTGCTGCTCTGCTCTGGCTGTGTCCCTCCCGCCGCGGGTCCCTGGATAAGTCACTAAGCCTCCCAGAGCCTCAGCTTCCTTTTCTAGAAAGTGGGGATCACAAAAATGACTCTCCAAGGCTACCAGGGGATGAAAAAGGGCAAAGTTTTGGGGCACAGAGGATAGGGCGGTGGGGAAGTGGGGCACTAAGTCTGTTTTGACGGGTGTGACTTGGATCCCAGCTTAATCCTGTTTTAAAGGGAGGAGTCTTAACCATCATGACAACCTGGCAGCTGAGTCTCCTCCAGGGGTAGAGCAAGAGACACCCAGAGGCCCACCCAGCATCGAGGAGGCCTGAGAAGGGCTGAGAGGCTGAGCTGGGCTTGGATGGGCTGTTGGGGGACATGGTGGGGTGGACCTTGATGCCTAGTGGCCTGGGAAGTCAGGGAAGGGTCTCTTCCACAACCCCCACCTCCCTGGTGTCCAGCTAGTTCCTACTCCAGGACTGGTCAACCTTCCCTCTTGGAAACGTGGGCATTTTAACAAAGCTTTACAATCCTAAGTGGGAGCTGGGCACAGGTGGTAGCTGTCAAGGACCATGACAGGAAGTTTGGCAGAGAAGCTGGGCTTGGATGAGCATGGTGCTCTACCATCAAGGCCTGTCCTGGCCCTGCTCTCTCTGGAGACCTCACTCTCCACTGTGTGGCAAAGGAGAAAATGTGGCCAGCGGACTTCCTGCCAGGTAGCTCCCCACCTCTGGGCAGTGCTGGCTGGGCAGCCTCCGAGGCCCTCCCTTCCCCTCCCCGCAGGCACTGCCCTCAAGTGTTACTACTGCAAGACCCAGGTGAGCAACAAGGACTGCCAACATGTGCAGAACTGCACCGAGTCTGAGACCCAGTGCCGGACGGAGCTCATCCGTGAGTGGCCCGGCTGCCCCTGCACCATCCCTTCTCTCTGTTGGTGGTGACCAAGGAAATTGGGTTTAGGACACTGCCACTGAACTGTTGAGCCTTCTGTCCATCTACTTAGACTTACATACTCAGCTTTCCATCCACCCATCTATCACTCCATCATCCACCCATCCCTCCACCTATCTCCCATCCCTCATCCCCATCCATCCACCCATCCCCCACTCATCCCTCATCCATCCACTCATCTATCACTCCATCATCCACTCCTTCATCCATCTATCCACCCACCCTGATATCTTCCTCCACCCACTTTTCCAGCCTCCACTCATCCCTACCCATCCATCACCCATCTACCCATCCTCCCCCCCATCTATTTTCATCCATCCATCCATCCATCCATTCCTGCACCCATTCCTCATTCATTCACCCATCTGTCATTCTATCATACACCTCTCTTCCCCCTCATCCACCCATCCATCCATTCACTCACTCACCTCCCTGTCCACTCACCTACTCATCCCCACCCATCTGTCATTCAACCACCTATTCTCCCACCCATCTATCTTCCTCCATACATCTGTCCACCCACCCATCTATCCATCCCCCATCCCTGCATTCACTCACCCACTAAACCTTTCTGGTGCCCAGCAGGAGATCTAGCTGCCCTGGGCATCTGGACACAGATGAGACCAGGCCTTCAAAGCGCTTTTGGGCCTGAGGCCAGCTCTAGTTAGGGCAGAGACAGGAGAGGCCTGGGGCAAGGCCAGGCGGGTGAGTATCCAGTGTCCCACCAGGTGCCATTGGCCTCCTGACTTTCATCAACAAGGGCTGCAGCTCGAACTGTGTTGCGGGGTCAGAGGACTACTACTTGGGCAAGAAGAACATCACGTGCTGCGACACTGACCTGTGCAACATCAGTGGGGCCCAGACCCTGCAGCCGGCCATCACCACCCTGGCACTGCTCACTGTGCTTGGTGGTCTGCTGCTCTGGGGCCCCAGCCAACTGTAGGCTCCAGGAGGCCCCACAGCACCACACACTGGGCATGGTGCCTGGAGTTCCTGGGCCACTCCTTACACACACCTGGCCTAGTCTGGGCCTCTCCTGGTGTCTGAGAGCGTGTTATAACACAGGTCTGGTCATGGCCCTCTGACCCTCCTGTGGGTCCCTCTAGGACTCCTGCCCAGCTCCCTCCTGCCCAGCAGGCTGGGCTCTAGAAACACGGAACGGCCTGTAGATAGCCCCTCTGACCCCCGGACCCCCAGGCCTCGGGATGCTGCTATTTCCACAGCCTGATATTCCCCACCCTTAACCCTCTGCTCAGGCACCTCTTCCTCCAGGAAGCCTTCCCTGCCTAGTCCCTCCATGAGCTGAGCTCTGTCTGGTCCATAACGTCCCCTACACTCACCAGGTGGCAGACACTCAGAAGGGCCCAGCAAAGGCTGAGATGAAAAGGACTGAGTAGAATTGGGGCTGTGGGGCTGGTGTGAGGTCCTGGAAGTCTCAAAAGATGAGGCCTTGAGGCCTGGAGAGAGGAACCAGCCCCCCATGTTCATGAGGGTCCCTAAGCAGCAGCCCCCATGCCCAGCAAGCCCTTAATAAACACCTATTGAGTAAGCTGGAGAGAGCCTCTGTCCTTGCATACCCTGGGCCGGGATTGAGATTGGGGCTGAGTCTGGATCTTCCGGACTTAGTCTGTGGCTGTGGACATGCCTTTACCATGAGGGCTGCAGCTCTGGCCTTGACAAAAGCAAACGTATAGCACCTAGAAGGGAGGACATCCCTGCAGAAGGAGGATTGTATCTCTCGGGATTCACATTTGCTGTGCTCCCTTGAGCATGTGGCCAAACCCCTCTGAGTCTAGGTGCTCACCTGTGACCCCTCCTTCCTGTGGGAATGAACCCAGAAAAGTCACAGGAAGGAGAGGGTTTCCAGTGGGAGGGGCCGCTACCACCCAAGCTCCACACCCTTCCCTTTAGCCTGATGTGAGCTCCTCTGTTTTTCAAAAACAGTTCATTTAAGAGCTGCACACCCACAGTAAAACGTTCAGATGCTACAAGAGCTCCACAGTGACAGACAGCTTCCCCTACCCTGCCCCCAGGTCCCTTCCCCTCTCTAGGGTGCCCTTTGCACCTCTTGGGGCTCCTTCTGTGCCCATGCCAGCATCTTGTGTACCTGGAGTCTTGGGGGCCACCCAGGAGGACTCTGCCCACTGCCCACACTTGCTTTATTCATCCTGGAAAAGCCGTTTTGAAAACAGCCTGCCTCACCACCCACCCCAAGCCTAGTGGTGGTCGTGAATGCAGGATGATGGGGTGTGGGCATATGTGCCTAGGTGGGGCTATGATCGGGGTGGTCCCTCTCAGGGCACTGGAGGGAAGGCGTGGGGCTCTCTCAGGGAAGAGGACACAGAGGGCCAGAAAAAGGAAGGGGTTTGTTTACCTTGCCGAGTACTGAACCAGGATTGGAACTTGGGCCTGGAGTTCTGGGTGGCGGGGTGTGAACCTGGTAGGCAGGGTCATACTGAGGAAGAGCCAGGCTGGTGGCCTGCCCTGCATGTGACACTGGGTGGCCAAGGGTGGCAATGTCAGGAGCATACATTTTCCCCAGGCCAGCATCTGAGTGACCCCAAGCGCTGATTGTCCCCTTCCCCCACAACTCCAGGTAGACCCAGTCTGCCAGGCTCCAGCCTCCCCCACACCCCCTCCCTCTGGGGCCCACGGCACGTTCAGCACACAGACCTGCCTTGGCTCAAATCCAGGGTCCAGGCTGGGCCTTTGTTTCCTGGGAGGGCACTCAGCTTTTGTTTTCTGGAAGGGTGCTGCAGACCTGGGGCCTTGGTGGAACTTGGCACCTATCAGGGCTCTGGTGCAGCACCTGGGGTCTAAGGCTGGCACTTGAGCAAACAGCAGCCCAAGGATTGGTGGGCATTCTGGGCTGTGCTAGTCACACTGTGTCTCCTAAAACTGCCCAGCTTGCTGACCTGCCCTGTTGAGCACGGAGGGATGCTGGTGCCACTCCCTGCTCCATCCACTCAGCACATAGTTACCAAGCACCTGCTATGTTCCAGGTTCTGTTCCAGGTGCTCCAAATACAGTAGTCACTCTGGTGATAATGTAACTGAACCCAGTTTCAGCTGTTCACTGCTCCAAAGCCAAACTCAAGAGACAAGGGTTGGTAAAAGGAAAACAGGTTCATTAAAGAGCCAACTAGCCAGTTGTAGTGGCTCATGCCTGCAATCCCAGCATTTTGGGAGGCCAAAAGGACTGCTTGGGCCCCGGAGTTTGAAACCAGCCTGGGGCAACATGGTGAAACCTCATTTCTACAAAAAAAAAAAAAAAAATCAAAAAATTAGCTAGGTGTGGTGTCATGTGCCTATGGCCCGAACTACTTGGAGGCTGAGGCAGGAAGATCGTCTGAACCTAGGAGGTCAAGGCTGCAGTGAGCCATGATCATGCAACTGCACTCCAGCTGGGTAACAGAGACCCTGACTCAAAAAAAAAAAAAAAAAAAGGAACTGACAACCTGAGGAGATATTGGACTAATGTCTCAAAGACCATCGAGTTCCTCAGGTTGATCAGAGGGTGTCTAAGGGAAAACAATGCGTGAGGGTTGGCTATATGCAGGTCAGCGTGCTCTGTCCTGGTGACTACCTTGAGCAATGGGACATTGGGTGGTCTACCTAGCATCAGTGTTTTCTCTGGAGGTGGTCGGGTCAGTCTGACATCCAGGTTCTGGCTGATTCCTGGAATTCTTGAGCAAGTGTATGGTTAGTCATTAGTCATGATAAAGGGCAGTAAAAGAAAACAACATGGCCATCAAAGCCACTCCAACCAAAAGGCAAGTTAGCTATGTTAGTTCCTTTGCTGTTCCATTGTTACCATAAATGCTGGGGAAGAAATAGAGCAAGGAAAGAGGATCCAAAATGCTGGCATGGCCAGGGAAGGCCCACAAATCTAGAGGCAAATGGCAGGGCAATAAAAATGACCATCTTCTTTAAACAAGGCACAGAGCCCATGGAGGTGTCCACACATCAGCCCCTACTCCCTAGTGGGAGGGGGTCCTTCCCCCTAGGGCTGAGGTTCAGAGACTCAAGCAGACTGGGGATGCCTAAGGACAGAACAGACAAAGGGCCCCAGTATCCTGTCCACAGACTTCCTTGCATTTGAATGCTTTGGGCCAGGTCGGGGGAGGGAGGGCAGACGGGACCTGCCAGGTGGAAGACCTTGCTGGGTTCTCTGTGCCAGGGCCAATCTGTAACGTGGGACTGCCTCTGACCTCCTGAGCTGTCCCCAAGGTCACAGAGCCTCCAAGCTGAGGACCTATCCCCTACCTCACAATGACAGAGGGGCAGAAGCCTGCTCTGGCCACACAGCACATCAGGGACAAAGGTCCTCCCATCCTGCTGCCTCCTCACAGGACAGATGACTGACACAGGGGGCTCACCTCTCCAAGAGCAGCGACCAGTCAGGGAGGGCCACTTTCGGAAACAGCCCAGGTCCTGGCCCTGGTGCACCAGGACTCCAGAAGTCTTCACATGCTTCTGCTGCACAAGGCAAATCTGGACTGGAACCCGCATTTCCCTCTCTCCCAGCATCGCCTCATCTTTAGACACAATAGAAAGGCAAACCCTGGATAATAATAGCTTGTGTGATGTTTCCTATGCAAATACATGCAGATGCACACTCACAACAGGCATTGTCTGGACCATGACACACACTCTTCTTGGTGAACTGCTTCTTTTCTTGCTGTCTTTCCACTCGAAGAAACAGAGACTCTTATCCTTGTATCTGATAGCTGTGGTGCTCCCTTGAGTGGATGGATTTTTTTGTTTTTGTTTTTGAGATGCCATTTCCTGAGCCTTTACTATGTGAGAGATTCTGGACTGACCCTTTAGCATCTATAATAATCATAAGTGATGACAACAGCAGTGTTGACACAGCCCTTACCATGTCTAGGCACTCTTCTAGGGCTTTCCATGCCATCATTCATTTATCCCTTACTACAACACTGTGAAGTAGGGCTGTACAGAGAAGGAAACTGAGGTACTGAGAGGTCAAGTAACTTGCACAAGATCACACGGTAAGTGTTGAGGCTGAAGGTTCTTATCCAGGTAGAATCAGGCTCAAAGAGGTGAAGGAACTGACCTGAGGTCAAGCTGTTCCCAGTCACCCTCCTCTATGTGCCAGTCTGCCCCAAACTAGGCCTCCAGGGGTATCCCTGAATGGACATCTCTAGCCCTGGCCCCAGTTCTCATCCCCCCACAGCCCTGAGCTGGGGCTAATCTGACACTGTCCTCCCCCAAGGACTCTGGCTTAGCTGGACTGTCAATCCCCAAGTCTGTTTGTCTGAACCTTTAAGGACCTGAAAGGACTAGGGTCTCCCCCTAGGTCAATGACTGTCCTCCCTTGAGCACTCAGGGAGATCCATAGATCTTCCTTTCCACCTAGCCACCTGAGACAGCGCAGGGTGGATGGTCACAGTGGGACACCTCCTTGTCTTGTTCATCACCTGCCTGGGGCTCCCATTCTGTAAGTTCTGTCCATTACAGAACTTGGCTAGGCTTGGGGTGCAGAGGGGCAGGTCAGCTACCTGAGGGGTGCTGCAAAGACCAGGGGTGAGCAGGGGCAAGGGAGGGGAGCTGTCTTTCTCCATCGGTGTCTCATCTCCTCCTCCCACTTACCCTGCCTCTTTCCCCACCCCTCCTCTCCCATCACCATTCCCTGATTTCCATCTTCCCTGCTGTCAGACCCCTCTCTGAGGTGGAAGTCCACATGGTGGGGCTTCCCTCTACCTCTCCCCCACCAAGCCACAGTGGGCCCAACTGCAGCAAGAGACATCAAGCTACACAGGAACGAGTTCTGAAGCTCTGGGTGGAGTCCTCCTGGAAGACATCCCAAGGTCAAGCAGTCCTTACAACAGTCCTGGGGGAGGCTTAAAGTACAAGGTTTTTTTTTAACCAAGTCCCCACAGTTGCAGGCTGGGAACCTGGACCTCCATCCACCCACCCGACAAAGGCTGGGGTGGGGTGGCCTCCAGGTGAGGGGTCCTCCCTGTGCTCTGTGCTGCTATACATACTTCTGGGCCAGGGATATGGCTGCCGCCTGAACAGTGGTGTTCCCACCTGTGTTACCATGAAGCGCTAGTGGACTGGGGTAAGGACAACTGTCCCCAGCTGGGGCCTGAGCAGACCCACCTGGAAAAGAACCCCAGCAGGCAATCCCCTCTAGGAACAACCAGCTCAGTCTTCCCCGGAGTACATATGGGGAAACTGAGGTGCTGCAGTGTTCCCACTCCTGAGCTGTGGCAGAGCCACCAGATATTAGGATGACCACACCTTCTTATGAGCCTGAGGCCCGTGGGCTGGCCTCCCTGCTCCCAAACTCGCTGTCTGGCCTGCAAGCTACCCCTCCACAGGCAAAACGACAGTGACCAAGCAGTGCGCGGGTGCGTGCCTTCGAACACCAAGGGGCTGGGCCAGAAATGCCCTGGAGTTGCTGCCACCAAGACCAGTGCAACTCGCGACAGGGTTGGGGTCGGGGTCGGGGCGGGGTCGGGGTCAGGCTCCAGGGCCCGCTGAGTTCCAGCTGCAAGCGTGCTGCTGGGCGGTGCCCTGAGCCCGTGCTCTTCCTCACGGTGGCGCCGTGAATCTAAGCGGCGGCCACTAGAACTTGGACTGCCAGCCTCTCTCTGGCGGTGACGTCTGACACTATTGCTTATACAGGAATCCTAGAGGAACTAAAGGGCCCGGGAATACATCGTCCCCCTTTCCAAACCCACCCACCCTGCAGGCTTGGACACCCGGAGCCCAGGCCAAGGAAGGGGCTTCCAGGTCCGGCACCCAGGAGTCCCTCACCTGACTTGGATTCCTTCAAGTCCCCCCCCAAATAAAACTGCCGGTGACTCACACCAAGATGCCCGCGTCCATTGTGTGGGGCCACTGCAGCCAATGGTGGGGGGGTGGGGAAGAAGCAGGTGCATTGAACTCCGTCCACCATGTGCTGGGCATCAAGCTGGCCCTGGGATAGCGGTCAGGAGGCAGACCAGGCCCTGGCGTCCTGAACTCGGGGTCCAGCGGGCATTCTCTGGAAGACAGGCATTCCTTGCTTATGTGACCACGCCTGCGTAAAACTGCAGCGAGTTCAGTGTACTCTGGGGAGAGGCTCCCTGTGTGAGGAGGGCTCTGGGGATCTAGCCCAGTCTAGGGGTGGGGAAGGGGAAGATGGGGGTGGGAAGCCTGGATAGCAGAAGCTGGAATGAAGCAGGATGGCAGGAGCAGAGGCCGGGAGGGGGAGGGGGAGGTCTGGTAACATGCAGCTGATTTCTCATCCACTAACCCTCACTGACATCTTCTCTGGGGCAGGCCTCCTGTGAGACTCCTCTAGTGGGATGGGATGTAGCAGGCAAAGTGGGTGACTAGGAAGCTGCACTCTTTGAGCAATGGCCAATAGGCCCCAAGGCTGTGTCCTCAGTCTTTTCATCCTGAGGGACCACCCTTCCCGGAGACCGAGGGCTCAGAACCAAGCCAGGACAAGGAAGGCACTACAGGGACAAGTATGAGCAATGCCGGGGAGGCCTTCTTACATCAGGGCATCCCAGGGTGGCTGGAGCAGCCATGATAGGCAATGAGCTCCCCAATCACTGGGGGAGTATCAAGCAGATCCCGGGGCTCAGAAAAACCAGATCCCACTCTGCCACAGCTACTGGCCCCGAAGCAAAACTGGAAAAGCAAAGGCCTCCGCTTCCACCCTGGTCAGTGACCAAGGAGTGCATGGATGCCCAGGGACTGTGGAGTGGGGCTGCCCAAGACATCTGTGGGTGCCACCTCAGGGAGCTACTCCTTTGAGAGTGGTCGAGAACCCTGCAACCCTATAAAGCCCGTAGGCCTCTCAGCTCAGTTGCTGCCAGATGAGGGCCTCCTGGGAGCTCATTAAACGCACGACCTGGGAGCTCATTAAACGCACCGAGGCCCGAACAACAGAGCAGACCGAAGTGGGCGCCATCCCGGGCCACTGGCATACGTTGTCATTTGAGAGGCCTGGGGACTGTAAGGGAGAGCTGGCTGGCTTTCTCTGGGTCGCCATTCCTCTCCAGCCTCGCAGGGAAGACGGACATGACACCCGAGCGTGTGCCACAGCCCGCTGGGCTGAAGTCCCAAGTGCCTATGGCAAGATACTCTGAGCAGCTTGCTGAGTCATTGACTTTTACCCGGCTCCTCCCCTTCCCTCCCGGACCTTATTTACTACGGTTTCCAAAGGGGGCAAAAGAGTGGGAATGCTCAGGAATGAGTCTGGGGTTATCAGAATCTTTAGGGGCTAGGGGGTGATGTTGGGAGGGAGTAAGAAGTCACAGGTGGTGGCTGAAAATGCGCATCGGGGCCTGATCGTGATTGGCCCCGAACTGCTACGAAAGTCCAGGGGCCCTGGCCCTGCGGGGGAGGGAGACCCCGGAGGTTCGGGAGCAGGAAGGTCGGGTTCCAGTAGAGTCACGCTGCCGCCCACCGTTGAGGGTCGGGCGGTGTCCCATTCCCCTCGCAAAGTGTCGCAGCTTGGGCTGGGGAAGTGCTGGAGCCTTAGACTCTGCTCAGATAAAGGGTGGCCTCCCCGGGGCCAGTCAGCGACTTCAAGTGCTAGTGAAAGACGCGCAGGGGGCTCGCGCTCCTGGGCCCCCCGGGAGACGCCACGGACGCCCGAAGACACTCTCGCGCCTGCAGCGCCAGAAGCGACCACTAGATGCCGCTGTGGCGTCCAGCGCGCCCCGCCTCGCCTCGCCCAGCCCCGGGAAAGCGAAAGTGGCGCAGGCCGGGTGGAACGGACCACTGGCGGCGCGAGGGGGAGTCCCGGAACCGTGGGCCGGCCTCCGGGCGGCGGCGCTAGCGGCCTCTGGGGAACGCTCCCCCCTCAGCCGGCATCGCGAGGAGGTTCGCTCCGGCCGTGCGGCGCTGGCGGGTTCCCAGGCGGGCCTCCCCGGCCGGCACCAGCAAAGGGGGTATCGCCGCACCCCGCGCCCGCCGCCGCCGTCGTAATGCTGGTGCTGCTGGTGGCGGTGCTGGCCCTGGCGCTTGCCTTCTTCGCGCTGTCGGACGGCTGGTACCTGGTGCGTGTGCCGTGCGCCGTGCTGCGCGCGCGCCTGCTGCAGCCGCGCGTCCGCGACCTGCTGGCCCAGCAGTGCTTCCGGAGCCGCGTGCTACCCTCGGACTTGGACCTGCTGCTGCACATGAACAACGCGCGCTACTTGCGCGAAGCCGACGTGGCACGCTGTGCGCACCTGACTCGCTGCGGGGTGCTCGGGGCGCTGCAAGAATTGGGGGCGCACACCGTGCTAGCCGCCTCGTGCGCGCGCTATCGCCGCTCCCTGCGCCTGCTGGAGCCCTTTGAGATGCGCACCCGCCTACTGGGCTGGGACGACCGCGCCTTCTATCTGGAGGCGCGCTTTGTCAGCCTGCGCGACGGCTTCGTGTGCGCGCTCCTGCGCTTCCGACAGCACGTGCTGGGCGCTTTGCCCGAGCGCGTTGTGCAGCACCTGTGCAAGCGCAGGGTGAGTACCCCCGCCCCTGGTCCCGGGACACAGCTCCCGCGGGACCCTGGGAGGCTTTGGGTCCCTGGTTCCCTCCCCTGAGGAACGCCTGCTGTCTGTGCCCCTTTGCGTTGCCCATGTCCCGCCTTGTACAGCTCTTGCCCTTTCCTCTCGACTGAGGGCCTCCCTCACTGATAACTTCTTGGGGTTTCTCCGAATTAACTCTTTATAGTCGGGCTTAGCGTCCTCCCCTTGTGCCATTTCTTAACTTGACTCCTTATGGTTTCAGGTTCATCCTTCTTCCCAGGTCAGACCTCTCCCAGGACTGTTCTTGATGCTATTGTGTGGCTGGAGTGCTTAGCCACCCTCTGTAGTCCTTGGTTCTGAACATAGACTGATGGGAGGTGATCAGTTATAAAACCAGAGACCCCCTTTTGTACAGCTTAGAGCTGAGGGGCTAGGTCCTGGCCACTGGGCTTGGGGGTAAAGGACTGAGTCCAGAGAGCTGCAACCTTTCTGGCCCTTCTCTAATTGAGAGACGAAGGCCCCTCCCCATAGCCCACTCCTATCAGCATAGTAGAGCTGGCCAGGGCACTGGGGATGGTGGCAGTGGTTGCTAGGACAGGCTCCTGCTGCAGGCAGGTTCCTGAAAAGTTCCTGGAGCCTGCATGTGAGAAGCCAGGGCCTACCCCTGATGTGCACTCAGGGCCTTGGACAGCACCTCTGGCCTTGGACAGCACCTCCTGGCAGAGGAGGGATACTCACCTCAGTCCTGAGAGGCCATATCAGAGGTTGGGAAACAGGCTTGGAAAGGAAATTGCATCTGCTCAAAGCTCCACTGCGAGTCACAGCCACAGCTCCCTGGTCTTCTCTGTGTTGAGTCAGGAACTCTCTGAAGGGCCTGGATCTCTCTGTGTCCCCGTAGGGGCATATGCTGAACTCTGTGTGTCCTTTCTTATGTCTACAGTCCAGAGAGAGCAGTCATCAAGGTTGAGAGCAGGGACTTGGAGGCCGACGGGAGGTGAAGCCAGGACTGCTTTTATGGGAGGGAGGGTATGGCTCCGTCAGGCGTGAGGCTGATGAGGCCCATGTGAGAGGTGAGGGGGCTGGGCCCTGGTACAGCAAGGACAGTGTTGATGAGATGGAGTTTCTAGCCTGAGAGTCTCAGGTGGTGTGGCAGGTGTAGTTTTGGCTTGGGATCCTGCATGCTGGAAGGCTGGCCTCAGGTGATATGGCCAGGAAGGAGAGCTGGTCTGGAGTGAGTCTTGGATGCGGCCATTGAAACCGGGCAGGGAGAGGAGTGGTTCTGAGAGCCTGAGCCCAGGTCAGCTCTGCCAGGACTTGCTGTGGGGGCCAGGCACCCCCTCCTCCCTGGTTCTGGTGTATTTGCAGGGAAAGCCTGGGCTTTATCTCTAAACGCCTCTGTGTGGCCATTTACTCTGAGGTGGGATGGGCATTTGCCTGCCTTCTCCCCTCATCCTGGGAGTACCCAATGCCCATCGGCAAGGCCTCCGAGTCCTCAGGCCTGGCCCAGAGACTTGCCACATGGTGGCTGGGTATGCGGGGAGGAGGAGGCAACTGGTGTGGCCAAGCAAGGAGAGTTGGGAATGGAATGGTTGGGCCCAGAGTTGCCCTGGAGATCAAGGCCAGTCCTCTTGGTGCACTCCAGAAAGAAAGCTTCTCAGCAAACCCTCCCCAGCACCTTCCTGGGAGAGTGGTTCCCATGCCATCTCTGCCCCTCCATCCCCTGCCATTCTGAGGCCTAGGGCTCTTCTGGGTCTCCTGTCAATTATAGGCTGCCAGCTTCAGGGGCTTTGCCTGGATTCTGGGAACACAGAGGACTTAAGCATGGCCCCACTGGGGAGACAGGCCTGGCAGAGGCAGAGTTGTGTTGACAGCTGCAGTGGATGAAGAGCGGCACACAGGGCCTTGGGAGGCACCTGGGGCAGCTGAGGTGGGCGTCAGGAAGGGGATCCTGGAAGGTCATGGCTGGGGAGCAGCAAGGGCAGAGGCCTAGAAGAGGACAGGCAGCAACCTGGCTGGGTGCCCCCTTCTTATACCCCTGCTCACTCTTCTGTCCTTCTGCAGGTGGAACCCCCGGAGCTACCAGAAGACCTGCAGCACTGGATCGCCTATAACGAGGCTAGCAGCCAGCTGCTTCGTGCTGAGAGTGGGCTCAGTGATGCTACCAAAGACCAGTGACCGCCATCTCCACACCCTGCCCATCCTGGCCACCAACATCAGCCTAGGGGCACTGCCCACTCAGCCCATCCACTGGAGTGGCCCACAGAATAGGCAGGTTGGGCTGAGCTTGCTCTGAGCAGGAGTTGCCTCCTGACTGACCCAGCCCAGCACCCTCCACCTACTGGGATCCTCAGTTAGTGGCACCCCTCTGTACTGGGCCTGGCATCAGCACTCTGAGCTCTGCCCCCTGGGTGGGGATGAATGAGCAAAAGGGTGCCCAGCCCAACCCTGCAGGGAGGCTGTGCTTCTGTGGGCCTGGATGGGGGAAGATGGTACCTGGAGCAGATAGACCAGCAAGAGGGACCCAAGCACTGAGCTTAGGTCGGAGCTGCTATGAGTGGCATGGCAGGGTGAGGCCAGAGCAGTCCTGGGCTTAGGCTGGGACTCTCCAGTGCCTGGACCTGAATCAGGCACAGCAGGGGCCTCTGAAGAGTCAGAGCAGCATTTACCAGGCAACCGTCTCTGACTTCTGCTGAGGAGGGCACAGGCCCAGGACAGAGTCTGGGTGGTCAGAAGCTGGGGCTGGAGACAGATAAGGAAGGCATTTGCTGGCAGAGGACTGGGTCACCTGAGCTCTCTTGTGGTCAGCCTCTACTTCCCCCTCTCCTCTAGTCAAACTGGGCAGGAGAACAGGGCAGGCAGCAGGGGCTTGTGGCTAGGAGGGATCAAGTAGCACAGAGGCTCCTGGAGAGGCAGCAGGCTTCCCTTCTGGGAGTATCCTAATCAGAAAGGGAATAGAACAGAGAATGGGACTCTGTGTGGGTGTCCTTGTCCACCTGTACTCCTCAGTGCCCATCATATCAGGACCATGCTGTGTAACCTTGGGCTCTCTGGACCTACAATACCTCAGGCTTCTGTCCTGTTAAAGCTATCCCTGCCTGGTGCCCTCCCCTGCTCTGAGGCTGCCTCCCTAGATGACTAGACAAGGGGCATCTTGGCCTCTTTGCCATCTCTGTCCCTGCCTTGCTCTAGTGGCCTATCCTAACAGCTGCTCTCAGGCCTCTCTGATGGGGACACCAGGCCATTGGGATGCTGGCCGGGGCTACCCACTCCTGTGTAATCCCTCACTTTATATAGCTGGGAAGCCAAGACCTGGAATGACTCAAAACCACTGAGGCAAAGCAGGGACTGGTCTCCAGCCTGAGGCTCTGGCCGATGCCCTCAGACCCCAGAGAGGGGCTGCCCTGCCTAGCTGGACACTGGGGTCAAGTGTCCTGCGTGTGGGGGTCACTGCCTGCCTGCTTAGGGCCATGTGCCTGCTTGCCTGTGCCCCTACACCAGCCTCTGCTGGCCCAGGGCACAGACAGATCAGCTGGATGGCTGGAGCTGCCCCCTCGCTGCCCCCTCCAGAAACCCCACCTGAGCCAGAGCCGGAAGTGCAGCAATGCCCCAAGCATCCCTGTCCCCACCATGCTGTTGCTGTTCTTGCCTGACAGTCACCATGGGAAAGCTGTATACTTTTTGTTTTATTTAAAGAAGGTGCAAGATTAAAGGATTTTACTTGCAAGTGTGAAGGGGGAGGCTCTTGTTTCTGAATTTCTCCCACTGCCCACCCAGGCAGGGGCTGAGCCTGGACTAGAGGCCCATTCCCAGGATGTGTTTCCTGACATGGGGCGTGTCCAGGCTTTTGGGGTTCTCATGAACTTAGGGATCAGGCTGGCAGAGCAACACTTATCTCCATCCCACAAATCAGGGGACTAAGGCCAGCAAGATGCTGCCCAAACCCTTCTGGCTTTCCCTTCCTGCCCAGCTGTCTCCTCAGCTCTGGCCTGTGAGCCTTGTGGCCCCCATCCATGATGCCTGGCCCAGGTTTCCAGTTTCTTTCCTTTGAGTCCTAGGATTCCCCGGGGAGGCCATGTCCTGGACTCTTGACCCTCAGTCACCAGGGTTGTGAATAGGGTGGGGTAGCAATTGGGGCAGAGGTCAGTGGACTTTGGCGGGTGGGTGGGAGAGAGAGGGCATAGGGGCTGCCCTGCAGGCCTTTCAAAGAGAGCAGTGAGAATGGTCTGACTCCTGGACACAGAGCAGGTGAGTGAGGGGGGTGGGGGCCAGATCCATGCTCTGACCACCTGCCCAGGAGAACTGAGAAGGTTCCAAGGGTCTGGGATGGAATGAGTGTTGGAAACAGTTGGGTTTGAGACAGGCATGTTGTGATGGGGCAGTGGACCCGGAGAGGTGAAGTGACCTCGTCAAGGCTGCTCAGCAGCCAGTGGTCTAAGCTGGGACGGTCAGCCTGAAGCCTCTGCTCTTCCCTCAGCCCTGGATGCCTCTAGGACCACTTAGTGCTTCACATCTGCCCTGAGCCTGTGGGTACATGGGGGGCCATTGGGTGTCCACATGGGAGCCCTTCAGCATCCACACAAAATGTCCATTTCTCTTCACCTAAGAGGTTTTTAGCAGGTCCTGGTGCAGCCCCCTTCAGGGCTCAGTGGGATCGGGAGAGGGCCAGGACCCAAAGAGTAAGGACAACCTGTTGGGGTGCATGGCTCAGCTGGGTATTGCCAGCCAAGTTTCCAACAGGGACTATAGACAGGAAGTGGTGGGTGTGCAGCTGGCCCAAGTGTAGGCTGTCCAGCCAGTGGTCCTGAATCACCTGGGACCCTGGCAGGGTAGGGACGAGGGAGGCTGCAGGAAGGGCCACCTGGGCCTTGCATGGCATGATGTGAAGATGTTGCAGAGAGTCCCTGGTTTAGCAGCTGTTCCTTGGTTGTGGAAAGCATATCAGCCTGGACACAGAGTTCTGAGCTCTGACTGAACTAAGGATGGGTGTATCTGGTGCTTGTGTGCACATGAAGGAGGTGCTTGAGGTGTTGGGGGCATCAAGGGGGTTGAGCAGGCTGTCCCCCACAGGCCTCTGGGGTGTCCCTTTCCTTGCAGAGGCTAAATTCACACCAGGGTCTTGAGGGCTGGCTCTGCAGGTTTAAGCCAACGAGGCACTCTCTTGGTCTTTATGTTCAAAGGACTGGTCATTCATAGGTAGAGGAGCATCCTTGCTGGCATTTGCTGGCATCCCCCTGTCAATAGGACTGGCCCCAGTCAGTCAATGGGCAGCTGGGATTTGGAAGCAAGTCAGTGCCTTGTTCTGGGGATCCACTCTGATCCTGTGGACTTACTGCTGTTGAGAACATAGAGGAAAGTGATTGCTTTGTCCCACATGCAGGGGGGCCCTGGTGTCACTCCTTTCCGTCTCCCATGCTGCAGGAATGTCCACTCCAGGAACCCCCCCCAGCACATTGGTGTCTAGTGTCTGCATAGTGTTCAGGTGGCAGGCCCAGGAGGACTTTGGTGGACACCAGTGAAGCAGAGAAGGGGACAGGTTACAGGAGTGTATCCAGGATCTTGAGGGGGTTGTGCTGGGGAGGCCATGCACAGGAATGATCATCCTGGGGTAGGGGGCACTGTGCACTCAGGGTCAGGTGGACAGAGCTGGAGGTTGCCTTGGTGAGATGTCTCGGGGCCCATCTTGGGACTGCTGCCCACTGCAGTCCTGGCTGCAGAGGCTGCCTTCTGGCCTCTGCCTTCTGAGCTCAGTCAGCTGACTGCCTCCTCATGTATTCCCTTTAGGGCCCAGGCCACAGACCCCCATGTCCTAGGCTTTACTGAGTTAAGTGCAACTCTGCCTGGCATCTAGTTCCAGGGCTCCTAGGAGTCTCAGGACAGCGCGACCATCATTATCTCATGGACGGGGAAACGAAGTTTAAGGCATGGAGTTCACAGCCTGGCCTCAGGGAACTCTGGGAGGCTGACCACAGAGGCTGATGAGTTCCAGGTCAAGACAGCTGCTCCTGGCATGGTTTGCCCACGGGACACTTGCGAATTGGCACCCTTGGGGAGGCTGAGGGTCCTCCCCCTTAGGGGCGAGGAGGAGATGGCCCAGTGTTATACACGCCCACCTTGCTTATTTTAGTGATTTCTTAGACCTCGCTCCTTTGACCTCTGGACAGTCGGCTGGGTTTCCAACAGCCTCCTCTTCCCCTTTCGCGCAGGAGGGCTGGGCACCCTTGGGGGGCATCTCCTCTCCCTCCCCTCCCCCCACATTTCTCAGCGACTCGCTGCTTTCCTGCCAGCGTCCCACGTCCCGGTCCCAGTGCGGTCAAGAATGTGGCGCCCTCTCCTCCTTCCTAAGGCCTCCGCGTCCCTTCAGGTCCGTCAGCCCCGCCCCCGTGGGCGCGTCCTCCCGAAGTCCCACCTGTGGCCTCCCCAGCTTAGGCGGCCACGTTTCCTGGAAGGGGCACAGGAACAGGCGGACAGGTGGGCTTCCTCATGGCCAACCGATGGGGCAAGGGCTTTCCCTGCCGCCGTCCCTTGTGGGTCTGGCGGTGTAGCCGAGCTCGCGGTGGCGGTTCGGGGCAGGGAGGGCAGGCAGTGCAGGCGGGTCCCGTGTGCCCGCGGCGTGCAGGAGGGGGAAGGGTCCTCGCTGCGGCGTTTCGCGGGCTCTGGCGCGCCCCCTCCTGGCCGCGCGGGTTCAGCAGGAGGCCCACAGATGCTTTCCTAGGATGGAGGTGGCTCGCTGAGTATTATCCCCCTTGCTCCGCTGGTGATGCTGAGACTAGGAAGGGGCGACATCTTGCTCCGTCCTCATAGTGAGGCCGTGGCTCTGGCTCTTTGGCTCCAACTCCAAGGCCCAGTGGTGTTCTCTGGAGGTCCCCCCATAATGTGGGAGAATGACTCTATTGGGGAAGCTGCAGGCTTGATGTTAGTGGGGAGGCCTCAGATCTGGCAACTACCCCTGGTTGGGGCTACTCCCCAGAGTGTTAATTCCTGGCATTTCTGGAAGGGTGTGGGGTGTGTGCTGACCTCCAGGCCCTTCAGACACAGAGGTGAACACTTACAGGGTCCTGGGGGCCCTCGCCACCATCCTGGTTACTCCCTACATGTGCCTGGGATCTGTCAAGCTTTTCAGACCCCCTACTTGCTGCATATCACACCCACTACAGTAGGGATAGGTGCCGCAAGACCCCAGGGGTCACGGGCCATAGAAACCAAGACCTAGCTGGACGGGACTTGGAAGGTGTGCAACCCAGAGGACACCAATAGGAACCAGAGCACGGAGAGGGCCAGTATTGCCCTGGGATGGCTCAGGCCCCACAGTGGCCATGTCCTCCTTTCTGCTCCTGCCCTGTCTCCTTTCACTGGACAGAGCACTATGATTATGACAGGACAGCTGGAGCCACATGGTGGGCAAACAGGAGCCTGAAAGCAAGGTCTGCTGGGTGGGTAGCTCAACCCCTGAGGAAATTCTACTGCCTCTGTCCTCTGGCAGAGTGGACTGGCCCCCAGGAACAGAGCCATCTGGGAGTGCTGCAGGTGCAGCATGGCACAGAGCCCAGCACTAGCCCTAGAGAGCCTGAGGGATGAGTTGGCATTGACCACATCTCATCTAATCTCAACTGTCGCAAGGGGACAGGTGAGCACTTGTCAGAGGAGGTGACTAAGGCCATGGCGCTGTGTGGTGCCATCAGATTCAGATGCACACACCCCAAGAAGACCCCTCCAGCTGGGCAGGGCAGAGTCAGACATACCCACCCTTGGAGCAGAGTAGATTCCAACTCTGAGATTCCTTTCTACTCTGGGGTGGGGGTGACACCTCCAGGGTTTGAGGGGAGATTCTTAGGGGGAAGGAGATTTCCTTGGACTGAAGAACAGGCCTTGGTCTGAGATGTTGTGCAGCTAGTTTGCAAGGAGGCATTTCTCTCCCTAAGCCTCTGCCCCCCTGTCTGAAATGGGTCTAAAAGGCCCCGGATAAGAATGAGGGCAGGTGCTCGGAGCATGCTGTCATTCAGCCTAGCTCTCCTGCAAGCCAGCTCTGTGGGTTCTCAGTGCCCAGGAAGGACAGAAGTCATATCCACCCTTGGAAAATTTATTTTCTACAAGTGTGGGGGATGGAGGGCAGAGAGCTCCTCTGGCCTGCTACTCTCCCATGAGTGACCTGAGGCCCAGTGAGCTGTGCCCGAGGGGGCATGCAGATAGAGTTGACCACGGATGAGGCCCTGTCAGGAGACAAGGCACTCAAGGAGCACCTTTACAGCCTGCTGCCCTCACCGGTTGCAGAGGTCACGGAAGCAGCAGAAGATGAGGTGGGCAGCCCCGATGCTGTCAGGGTCAGTGGCAATGCAGGAGGTGGAGCAGGAGCGGGTCACCACAGGTCTCTGGTGGAAGGGGTACTCTGCAGGGTGGAGTGGTATCAGAAACTGCACCCTACTGCAACATCTGCCTTGATCTGCATGCCCTCCCTGCACTGATCCCAACCACCATGCCCTTGACCTTGCCCTTCCTGTCTCCTCCAACCCTACCCAGTGATTCCTCAGTCCTAGCAACCAAATTCTGGGAAGTCATCCATGCCCACTCCGCTGACTGTGACATGGTTAATAATAACACCAGGGTTTACAGAGCCTCCTGGGTGGGAACCTGAACCCTGGGTGGGAACCTGAACCCAGAGGCTGCGGCAACACAGCCAGTCTGTGGCAGAGCGAGGCTTGAGCCCCAACTGACACCTCCGACTCACTCACTGCCCTACTCCACCCCTGGTGCTCCAAAGCCCAGTCCCTGAGGGGGCTGTGCCCCTACTGAAGTGGGGAAGCCCACACTGCCCTGCCGACCAGGGAGCAGCAGAGAGCAAGGATGGCATTTGGGGGAGGTGGCCCTGACCCCTGTGCTCCCCAGGCCTGCTATGGGCTGGGCCTCACCTGCTTCCACATTCACCAGCGTGGTCTTGCAGGCTGTGTCCTCTGGCTTGCAGTAAGAAATGTTTCTGCATGAAGAGGTGGTCGTGGGTTGCTCACAGGTGTAGCACCTGAAGGCCTTACCTGGGCGAGGGATGGGGGCAGAATCTCATCACCTGGCCTCGGAGGCCCATCCTGGAACCAGGAGGAAGGGACTGAAGGACATTTGCTGGGATCTTTCAAGGTCTGGTTGGCTGACTGACAGACTTGATCACTGCAGCCCTCTACCAAGTCTCATTCTCCCTTTCTGGGAATGGGCCCATGACCCCTGTCCCACAGTGAAGATGGGCTCTAGCATTCAAGAGCCTCATTGAGAGTGAGAAGGATGAGCCCATGGGTAAGGAGTCCTCCAGCTGCAAAGACCATTACAGCCTTCTTCCCCTAGGAAGTAGGCAGGCAGGGTCCTTGCTGGTCGCATCCCAGCCCACTTACCACAGCCTATGCTCCAGGCTGCCATGAGCAGCATCCCCAAAGCCCAGCGAGAGCTCATTCCTCTGTGTTCAGGAGCTAGATGTGGCAGCTGGTCTCACATTGAGAATTTATACCCAGCCCTTCAGGCACTGGCTCCTGGGCGGCAGTGGAACTGGAACCAGCCTCATGAGTCAGTAGGGTGGCACACAGCTGAATGGGAGGCAGCTGGTGGGAACATGACAAGTAGCCACAGAAACTATCATCACTTGTCAGCCGAAGGGGTGGCATCTGGGAACCCTAGTTTGAGGATGATGGCTCTGCCCTCTGCTTATGTACTTCCAGCACTGAGGAACTCTCTTTTCCCCAGATGTCCTCTGTCATCCTGGGGCAGCTCAGCTGAGAAGGCCCTTCCCACTGAGCTTCAGAGTAACCCTCTGAGCATACTGGTTCTGCCCTTGGGGCTCACATAGACCACCCAGCCCTGATCTTGGGGGTCTTGTTGCTCGAGCCCTGCCTGGTGCTTCCTCCCTACAGACTGACCTGGTCCTGGCAAGAGGTCACTCCAGAACCGCTGACCTGTTTGGCCAGCCAGGGGCCAAGGCCACTGTCCTCTATATTCAGACCCCGTCTACCTGGTGTGCACCTGTTACACACACCCACAAAGTAGGAAGTAGGTCTAGTGTGGAAAAGGGTAAGAGCCTGGTGAAGTGTGGGTAGCGTTAGGTGGCGGTGGGATGGGTGGCCACCCTCTCAGACTGGTGGGTGTGAGCCCAGGACCAGCACCTCATCACTGCCAGCCCCTTCTTGGCTGATGGCCTTTAGACCAAGCCTGAATTTCTTGATGTTAGGCCTCTGACAACATAGCTCTCCCCACCCTCCAGCCTCCTGCCCTGACAGTTTTGTCTGAGTTTCCCCACCGCCCACCTTCCACCAGACACTGTTCCATTGCCCACGCCTTTGTGCTGTGCCTCTCAGTGAGCACGCTGTCTAGTTTCTCATCAAATGCCTCAAAGTTTTCCTATGCTGTAAAACCCAGCAGGTGTTTCTCCTCCATAGTCCTTCCTGGTATACTAGTCTCTCTGGTTTCTCTCTCCTGAGGTCCTAATGGGCGGTTATGTGGATGGATTCAAGAATGGATGTATGCATGGGAGAAGAATTGATAGATGAATTGCTAGATGAATGGGTAGATGGATGGATGAGTGAATGGGTGGATGGATTGGGGATTGGATGCATGGAGGATGAGTGGGTGAATAGGTGGGGAAAGGATGGTTGGATGGATGGATGAATGGGTGAATGGATAGATGGATGGATGATAGATGGTTGAGTAGATGGGTAGATGGATCTATGGATAGAGTATGGATCGGTGGATAGGTGGATGAATGGATGGATGGATGGATGGTTGAGTGGATGGATGGATGGATGAATGGTGGAGTGGATGGATGGATGGATGGATGGTTGGATGAATGGATGGATGGTTATGTGAATGATATTTGAGAGCATGGGTGGTTAGAGAGAGGAATGAATGAATGGGAGCACTCAGGGATGGAGGGATGGGTGGCTGGAAGAGTGGGGTTAGATAGGTGGGTGGTGGGTGGGCCCTACTGTGGGATAGGGGAGTCACACTCTAGTCTTGAGGCAGAATAAGATGCTGGTAGGAGCTCTGGGTTGACACTTAGGAAGCCTGGGTTTTGGTCTTGGCCTTGCTGCTCTATATGTGGCCTTGGGTGGCTCCTCTGTCCCTCCAGACTTTGGTTTCCTATTTGCAGGTTCTGAAAGCAGAATTGACCTGGCCTTGTGGGTGGAGGAGAATTGTAGGAGGCTATGGGGTGGTTGCAGGAAAGCAAAGAGAGGGCGTAGTTGGCAAAGAGAGACCGTGGCTACTATAAATCAAATAATGGGGCTGCACATGGGGAGGTGCACAGACAGCAGCAGGAGTGGCCCATCCCTAGGGCTTGGTTCACAGACATGCCCGGATGTTGCAAGAGGAACCAGGGACTGTCTGGTGCTGGAGTCTGATAGAGTGAGCCAAGTTTTGGTTCCTCCCGACCTCTTGTATGACACAAGTCTACTCACAAGGTACTCTCATCCCACTTTCTTTCATCTGTAACTGGGCAGAGGAATATCTATCCCAGAGGGTGGCTGTGAAAACTATGAAGGGTATGCTGTGGATCACAGCATAGGTGTGCTTGGAGCACGGATGGGATGGGTGTGACAAATAACCACGCAGGTCTGGGTGCTGAGATTGGAGATGCTGTGCCGTTGGTTGAGACTACATGGAAGGGGGTGCTGCTTGCCTGGCTTTGAAAGGGAGAGAAGACCTCAAAGGATGCTCCAGGTGGGGGTTGCGGCTATGAGAGGGGGCACACATAGCCTTCCTCAGACAGAGTGGGCACCGTTCTGGCCCATCCTCACCCCTTGGACCAGCACCTCTTGGCTGGTGGGAAAGCAGCAGTGTGCCTGGGTCAGATGTCTATGCTCTAGTTGGGCGAATGCCCTCTACCCCTCATTCTCTTTGTGAATCTACACCCTTCCCTCTGTCCCCACATGTGGAACCAGGAGACCAGGTTTGAGCTGAATCAAGGGTAGTGTGTGGCCTTGGGGGGCAGCTAAACTTTTCGAGCTCACTAATCCTCATTTGTATTAGACATATAGCCCTTTTTGAGCCTCAGTGTCTCATCTGTAAATTACAAAGATGATGGTTCCTAGTCCTCAAGGATGCTGGACAGTTGGAATGAGGAGATGTATATAAACCCGTTCCAACTGTACAAGACTGTCGGCAACAACTGACAGAGCTCCCATGAGGTACCCCCACATCCTCCCTCCCATTGCTTTCCCATCTCAGTCAGGGGAGGACAGAGAGGGCGGGACACCCAGAGTCCCTTTCCATGCCTGACCAGGTCACATGAAACAACCTTCATCTATTACCCAAGATGCTACCATGGTCCCTGTCTATACCCACCCACCCAGATTACTACTGCCCAATTCACACTAAGCAGAGTTCCAACAGGGTCAGACCAGGAATTTAAGATCCAGACCTCCCTCTCCTGGTTCTACTTCCCAAAGAAATGAGGCAGGGTGTTCATCCCTGAACTAGGAGGTCATGGCAGGCAGTATGGGTGAGAATTTCTCTGTTGGTCAGGTCAAGAGTGGAGTAAGAGGGAGGATGGAGACCAGGGAGGTGGCCTTATCATTTTTCTGACTTTAGAGCCAGAGGTGATAGGGCCAGGATGATGTGTGTTGGAACTAGTAGATCCTGAGAGAAGAGCAGAGCCCACCCCATCAGCCAGCCAGGGGAGGAGGTGACTTGTACCTCTAGTTACTACATTCAGCTCCTCCCTTCCCTGCCTGCTCCTGGTTCCTCTTCCAGACAAAATCTAGGGCTACTGGCTCCTCCCTTCCCCCTCATGCTGCATCTTGCCCTTTCCAGTTCCTACAGGCTGTGGAACCGCCCAGACCACTGCACTGGTGGGACCCTGGGTTGGCCTGGGTCCCTGCCCTAGAACCTCACTTTCTACCCTCCTTCCTCACTGGCAAGTCAGGGAGGAGGCCTGGCTGAAGGATTCAGGCCATAGGGAGTCTCAGGACAGGAACAGGTACCCAAAAGGTGGCCTAATAGCCAATGTGGTTAAGGTCAAAGATAGGATTCTAAAGCTTGAATTGGACCTCACTCACAGCCTCACTCACAGAGCTTGAACACAAACCGAACCCCTTTCCCTGTCACTGACTGAATTCTTTCCCTGGTCACACACTAAATCTTGACCCTGATCACAGATTGAACACTGATCCTTGACTCTGGACTGAGTCCCAGCCCCTAGCTACACACTGAGCCCTGACATCAGTCATAGATCAAGACCTGGCACTGGTTACAGTCTGGGCCCTGATTCCTGGTCATAGACTGAACCCTGAGCCCTGATTTCTGTGGGGGTTTGTGGAGTGCATCGTAGGGTGTGTGTGTACATGTGTGTGTACTGAATCTCAGCTCAGGCTTTGAGGCCAAGTGACCCCACCACACTCTCACTTTTGCGGGAGACTTGAGAAAAGCCAAGTGAGAGGTGTGAGTTGATGTCTAAGAGCTATATTTCCCTCTTGACAAAGTGAAAACTCAGGGCTACAGCCCTAGGTGTGGCATCTAAGTTAGCCCCCACTCCAGAGGATACCCTCATTCTGCCTTCAGGGCCTCTCAGAGAGATGGAGGCTGTAGAGGTCCTTGCCCCAAGGGAGTGGCCCCAGACCACAGGGCCCTTCGGGCTGCAGGTCTTGCCTAGGAAGCTGACTCAGCCAGGGGCCTAGGAGGAGATTCCAGAGCAGGAGTGTTAAGGTGGGGGCAGGGTCAGTGGGGGTCTGCAGGGTCAGAGAGGAAGGGTGGTCCCAAGATGAATGAGGAGGGCCCCTGCCAAGTGACCATTTCCTTTCCTTGTCAGGCTGAGGCCCATTTTCTGCCCCTGCTTCCCTTGGGCAGCCATGGGGAGCGGCCGGCGCTGGGAAGGAAGGCTGGGTTCTGTCCTTCCGCAAGTTCCCGAGTCCTTTGTGTGCTTATAGGATGGTGTGTGTATGTGTGCACGCATGCATCCATGCCTGTGTTTGTGCCGAGTCTCAGCCCAGAGGCTGGTGGGGCAGAGGACTCACTGAGGAGTTGACTTGGAGGACTTAGACACTGGCCCAAGGCCAAGGTGAAATGAAGGCCCCTTCTGCACTTGAGATTAGGCTATCCCAGGCACCAAAATCCCCTCTCCCACCACCCAGAAAGTGGGGCTAGGTGACAGCAAAGATGGATGGATGTTTGTGGTAACCCTGGAGACAGCAGGTGATAGACTTGCTGGGACTCCTACCCAAGGCCTTGTCCTCACAGCAGCCTCCACCATCAGCCTTGGGGCAAGTCCCTGCTTGGGGCTGGAGAGGTGGGCAGTGGGGTGATCCTGGGTCACTCTGGTGACTTTTCTTCCACCTGACATGCTTCTGTCCTCCTCATCCTAACCAGTTCTCTTAGTCATGCAAGACCTGGACCTAAATTCCAGGCCAACCCTGAACCCACCCTGGTAGACGTAGGGCTCTCTTGCCCATGGGATCTATGTCCTGTCAATCCCAGCCGGTCCCCCCATAACCCCTGAGAACCCAAAGGGCAGAGATCTGTGTGGTTTCTGTGGATTTTCCAAGCCTAGTAACTATCCTTGCTTGTAGGATAGAGCTTAAACCACATCACAGTGAGATAGGAAGTGAAACAGACAGACAGGGACGGGAACAGGGTCAGAGATGCAGCCTGGGGCTCCTCTCTTTGCCTGGAAGGGCAAGCCCATGTCCAGAAAGGAGACTCAGGAGACCTGGTATAGGTGGCGTTTTTTCAAGGCATTCAGGGCTGGGCTGCACAGGGACAGGTGGGCCAGGGCTGTGAGGGTGGAGGAGGGGGCTTTAGAGTCAGAGGCTTAAGAGGGGGATAAGTGTGAGGGTCCAGGCAAGGCAGTGGGGGCTCTTCAGGGCAGGTGCCCCATCCACGTTGCATAGCTCAGCGTTGCAGCAGGACACCGGCCGGGTCTGGCCGATGCCGTCCACGTCCGAGGGCTCACACTTGCTGGCGCAGGACTTAGTCACTGTGGAGTCTCCCAGGAAGGGGTATACTGCGGGGTACAGGGAGAGTCAGCCATCAGGTTTGGTCCTTTACTACCTCCAAGCCCCAGTCCATGCCAGGGCTACCTCATACAGGACCTACTGTGGGGTTGCCCATTCAGATCTCTGTTCCTTTCTGACTCAGCAGCTCCCCTTCCTCCTTTCTCCCACTGATATTAATTCACTATGGGCCAGGGACACACCTGGCATTCTGCACTGGAATTCCTTGCTTAATGGGGTAATTCCCACTCTAATGAGACAGTAAAACTAATGCCTGCAGGTGAGCCCACCTTTCCCAGTGACCCCTAAACAAGGCTGCAGCTGTGCTTCCATTAAAATTAGGGAGGGGAGAAGGAAAGAGGGAGACTTAACTGCTCAGACAGAAAGCCCTCTTTGGAAATGGGTGAGATGGTGGCTGTATGCTGTGCCCTGGTGGTGACTAGGCTGGAGACCTGGGACCCAGCCCTGCCCCACCGATTCCCACTGACCAATCTCCAGGGAGTAGAGCGTGGTCTTGCACATGGTCTCATTGGCGTTACAGGTGGTAATGGCAACACAGCTGGAAACGCCTGAGGGTTCCTGACAGGTGTAGCAACGCAGGGCTGTGGCTGGGAGAGAAGTGACATGAGCGTGTCAAGCAGGACCCGCCCCTCCCAAACCCAGAGACAGTCTTCTAAGTGTATCTCAGCTCTGTCCTGGAAGTTCGGGTCTGAGGGTCAATGATACTGGTCAGGGCCCAGATGCCCACTGCCCAAATCTCAGGAAAGGCACCGTGAGCTTGGAACAGGGTTAGGCCAGGCTCGGCCTTGGGGTTTGAGCCCCAGAGGCAGAGTGTGCCACCAAGCTAGAGGGGCCCAGCCTGAAGGACCAGGGCAGAATGAAGCAACTTTGAAAGCTGTAGAAGCACAGAGAAGCAAGGCACTAGCATCTCCATAGCAAGAAACACCTCAAGGCGGGAGGGCCATGGGATAGGCTTGGTTAGGGTCAGGTTCCCCCTTGGTTTCTCCATCAGCAATGTGCCCTTCCAGTGAAGGGTTGCCACAGGGATTAAGGGATTAGGCAAGGAGGCCCATGGAGTACAGGATGGCCAGGCTGCATCTGCTGTGCCCGCAGGTGCCAGCTTAATAAAAGTCATCCTTTCCCTGAGTGGGTACAGGCCAGCAGGGTGGGACCTGTAGCTGTTCCACTACCCCCTGCTCCAATGACCCGGCCTCAACCACTAGTAGCCCAAGTGAGTCTGGCTGACTGCAACTGGCCTGGGAAACCCACTGCACAGTGAGGCCACAAGCTCCTTTGTCCCCACTGTGTGACCCAGTAAGGGCCTTTGCCTCTTTCTGGTTGAGCTCAGTTTGCTTCTCTGGATAATGGGCAAACCCATCCAGCTCAGGCCTATTGGACCAAGCTCCCCTTTCAGGTGAGTCCAGGACATTGGTCTCATTTGTTCCCTCAGACTCCAAGTCGAGGAGTCACCCCACCCCAGTGTTCCTGGTTTCCTCACTCCTCTGCATCCCCACTGACACCCCAGCCTTGGAGCCTTCCTCCCATCCCCAACTCAAAGCTCTTTTGAAGTGTCCATGGCCCCCCATGATGCAACCCCCCCAGCTGGCACTCAGGGTCTTGGCCAGCTGACCCCTGCCCACCTGGGTCACATTCTGCTCACCTCTCTTGGGCCCAGCTCCCACCTTGCCATCTGCCCCACTCTCCATCTCTTCCTCTTCCATACTTTTTTTTTGAAAGCAAGATTTATTGAGAGGACAGAAAAGCTCCCACAGCAGGAGGGGACCCGAAGGGGTCCCCCCACTTCCCTACTTTGACCCAGTGGTAGATCAGTGCCCCTGCAACCCTCATTCTCTCTGGCCTCTCCTGCCCCCTTCCTGAGGCACCCTCACTAAGTACATCATGTGAATGTCTCCCATGGGCCCCATGTCTCACCGAGCTTCCCGAAGGTGGCCAATACCAGGAGCACCAGCCAGGTCCCCTTCATTGTCCCCAACTGCTCACTCATGCTCTTACCCTCAGCCTGCAGGGCAGCCGGAACTGTGGACACCAAGTGCTGTCTGTGGCCCAACTGGTTGGCTGAGCAGATTAGCGGAATCAGGTTTCTGGGGCCGGTGAAGGTGTGGGACGTGCCCCAGGCCTGCTGAGGCCCCTCCCTGCCTCTTTGACACTCCATCCCCTCCTGGTACTATTCCTACTTGCCCGCCCGCTGCCTGACCCCTCTAGGCCCTTCCCATCCTGTCTGGGATCCTTCCCTGCCCCTTCCTCGTTCCTTCACCACTCTCACTCAAGGCTGATACTCCTCCCTACCTCTTCCTGGCCCCTCCAATTCACCACCATGGTCTGGGACCACTCCCCCTTCCCATCTGGGGAGTCTTTCCTGCCTCTCTCTGTAACTCTCTGCCTAGGGGTCCTCCCTGACTCCTATACCCTCTCTGCCTCTTCCTCTTCTTCCTCCTTTCCTCTACCTGGGGCAGCCTTCAGTTAGTCCCTGGTCCTGGTTCCTTCAGGTATCCCTCTGCCTTGTCTCAGGTCCCTCCCTACTCCTGTCTTCAGGGGAGATTCCTGGACTGATGGCTGGACTCTTCTCAGGGTGACCTTAACCTGCCTCCCAGCTCCTTTGGGGTGGTTAGGCTGGGCACAGGCTTCTGGGGCTGAATTGTTACCTGAGCAACCAGCTGCAAAGTGTGCTTAGAGGCTTAAGGAGACAAACACCGACACTACTTGGTCAACAGAGAAAATCCTGAATACAGAATGGGGTGGGGAGGAACCGAGGTTGCCTTGGAGGTACAAGGTTACCTTGGGGGTGCTAATCCCAGTGATTACTGGCTACAGGCACCTTAATCTGTTATTGGTCCTGAATAAGGCTGCCCCTAGGCAAGATTTACCTAGCCAGGCTGCAGGTAAGAGAATTGAGGGGGAAGAAGATCCTTGCCCAAGGCTCAGACAGGAGACAAGTGAATTTGATTCTGGATGACTCAGGGCAACTCCAGCCACAGCTTGCCATTCCCTCCACAGACATTCCCCAGAATACCTGCACCAGCCTCCCCATGGTGTGCCTGGTCTGGGATCCTGCCACCCCCACCTCCAAACTCTATAGCTGTCAGAATGTGTGTGTTGGGTGGGTGGGTAGGACGAGTGTGTTGATAGCAGCCTGGCATCTCCTCCCTGGTAGTCAAGGCCATGGTGTTGCTGGGCCATACCCAGACTCACACTAGGGCTCTGCAGCAACCCTAGTGTCCAGATCTTACTTCCCTCTTGGACTTTGCTTCTGTTGTTCCCACAGCCAGGAATGTCCTTCCCTCTCCTTTCCCGGTGGTTGAAATTCTGTCTTTGGTGACCCGACCCTCCTCCATGCTCCTTCTATGGTTCTTAGACTTTTCTGCTGGATCAGTTCCATTTGGGATCTGGTGTTTGCCCTGGCAACTGGGAGAGCCGTTTCCTTGGGCACTGGGTGGGAGCCTTGTGTATGTGGGTGCTGGGTGAGCGTCACCCAGGACTCTGGAGCACCCAGCACAGCCTAGCAGATCTTTTTTCCTCACTACAGATCTGGAGGCCCAAATTACTATAAATTTTGTTTGCATAAGGGAACCGAGGTTCTGAGAAGCTAATTGACTTAGACGAGGGTGCCCAGTGAGGGTGGGTGAAAGCCAAGCAGCAGCCCAGGCCTGTCTGATTTCACACGTCACCTCGAAGCCACATGCAATGGACCATGAATGCCGGGTGCAGCTAACTGGATTAGATACCCACCACACACACCCTGCTTCCTCCTGAGATCTGACCCAATTCCTTTGCCATGGCATGGCCCAGTTCCTTCCTGTTCTCAGACCTGGGAGCCCCACCTGTGCCTTCCACCCGAAACACACACCTGGCCACCAGGCACACAGTTCCTCCTAAAGTTTCTGCCTGACCCCTCACTGAGAGTCTTTCTGCAAAGTTGCACCTGCCTGCTAAGGTGGGGAGGAATGTGGCCCAGTCAGGGTCTGAACTGGCTGTGTCAGGAAGGCCTCTGTTCTGAGAGGCCCACACCCTTCCCTTCTTGGTTTCTCTAGGAACCTCTGTGTCAGGGCTCAGGGGGTCTCAGTGTATGATTAGAACTAGGGCAGGATATGAATGTCAGAACTCAGCTTATAACCAGGATCAGGGCTCAGTGTGTGATCAGGATTAATAGTCAACATGTAACAGATGTCAGAGTTCAGCTTGTAATCAGTATCAGGGCTCAGTGTGTGATTCAGACACTGAACACATGTCATATAACACATGTCAGCATATAACACATGTCAGAGCTAGCTTATAATCAGGATCAGGGCTCAGTGTGATCAGAATCAAGATTCAGTGTGCAACACGCTCAGAGTTCAACTTGTGACCAGGATCAGGACTCAGTGTGTGGCCAGAGAGGGCCTGCAGGGATGACCTCCCTAATAATGTTACTGTTAAACTAGGGTGTTGTGAGGCTGCCGCTGGAGCTGCCAACCTCAAGAACTTAACCTTGAACTGTGACCCAAGAATCAGACGCTGCCCTTGCACCATGGCCCACACCACTACCACTTTTCCGAGCACTCTGATGTGAGACCCCTTCTTCAGGACCTTCCCCAGATCCCTCTCTACAGTTAGGGTGAAGAGCCAACTCGTTCATGTAGACACAATCAGGTATGAGGGAGGGCAGGCATGAAAAGAGGTCACACTCTGCCCCTGTGACAGTTTCTATTGACAGCTCAGTGGGTCATATGGTAGCCAGGGTGGAATGAGCAGCTCAAGTTATATGGTCTATGGCAGCAGTCCCCAACCATTTTGGCATCAGGAACCATGGAAGACAATTTTTCCACAGAGTTGGGGAGCGGGGAAATGTGCAGGTAAACCTCATTGCTAATTACCACTTCAACTCCACCTCAGTCAGATCCACATTAAATATGTGGAGTACAATTCAGGATTAGGTATATAAATATTCAGTATGCAGATACGCTTGTTAATGAGGTGTGACCCCCCTCCCCTGGCAGTTTCCCAGTACTGCCAATCCCACCCCTCCCCTCCCCTGGCAGTTTCCCACTACCGTCAATCCCTTTATTATAGTATTATAATAGTTGTTCAAGCTCCGCTTATGAGTGAGGGCATGTGAAACTCGGCTCTTCGTTTCTGTGATAGATCACTCAGTATTATAGACTCTAAGTCCATCCAAGTTGCTGCAAAGTTCATAATTTTGTCTTTCTTTACGGCTGTGTAATATTCCAGTGTGTATATGTACCACATTTTAAAAAATCCATTCCTCTTTTAATGGGCAGCACGGTTGGTTCCATGTTTTTGCTATTGTGAATAATGCTACAATAAACATGCATGGGCGGGTGTCTTTTTCATAGAGTAATTTGAGTTCCTCCGGGCATATTCCTAGCACGGGGATTGCAGGGTCATGTGGGAGGTCGATTTTTAGATCTTTTAGAAATTGCCAAACTGTTTTCCACAGAGGTTGTACTAGTTTACACTCCCACCAGCAGTGTAGAAGTGTTCCCTTTCCCCCCACATCCTCTCCAGCATCTGTTGTTTTCTGAGTTATTGGTGATGGCCATCCTAACTGGAGTTAGGTGGTATCTCAGTGTAGTTTTAATTTGCATTTCTTTGATGACTAGTGAGGCTGAGCATTTTTTTCATGTATCTGTTGCTGCTTATATGTCTTCTTTTGAGAAGTGTCTATTCATATCTTTTGCCCACTTTGTAATAGAGCTGTTTTTTTTTTCTTTTCAGCACATTTGAATTCCTTGTAGATCCTAGATGTTAGGCCTTTGTCAGACATACAGTTGGCAAATATTTTTTCACAGTCTATGGACTGTCTCTCCACTCTCTCAGTGGTTTATTTGGCTTTGCAGAAGCTTGTCAGTTTGATGAGGTCTCACTTGTATATCTTTTCTCTCATGGCATGGGCACTTGGGGTTTTGATCAGGAATTGGTTGCCAGTTCCAATTTCCATAAGGGTGTCTCTTGCATTTTCTAAGGTTCTTATAGTTTGAGGTTTTACGTTTAGGTCTGATCCATTTAGAGTTGATTTTTGTGTATGGTGATATGGTAGGGGTCTTGTTTTAATCTTCTACATGTGGTTAACCAGTTTTCCCAGCACTGTTTACTGAATAGGTTCTCCTCTCCCCTGGCATTAGATTCTTATAAGGAGTGGGCAACCTAGATCCCTTGCATGCACAGTTCATAATAGGGTTTGGGCTCCTATGAAAATCTAATGCCGCTGCTGATCTGACAACAAACGGAGCTCTATTTGCCCATTGCTCACCTCCTGCTGTACAGCTTCATTTCTAGCAGGCCACAGACTGGTACCATTTTGCAGCCAGGGAGTTGAGGAGCCCTGGTCTACAGTGTCCTATGCTACCCAGTGTCCATGTCTTGCAGTATCTGTGATCACCTGGCGTCCCATGGTCACTCAATGTCTCATTGTCATCCAGCGTCCTGTGGCCACCCACATTTATTGTCTCACTGTTGCTGTAAGTTGGAGTCTGGGTACGGCTTCACTCTGCTTTAGGTTTGTGCTCAGACCACAATCCAGGTGTTGGTTAGGCCATAATCATCTCAAGTCTCAACTAGAGAAGGACCTGCTTCCAATCTGGTGTGGAGTGGACCAGATTCCATTCCTCGCTATCTGTTGATGGAGATCACCCTCAATTCCTTGCTACATGGGTCTCTTCAACGTGGCAGCTGGCTTCAATGGAGCCTACAAGCTGCATTAGGTCGTATTGCTGTGTGACAAATCACCCTACACTTAGCAGTTTAAAACACCACCCATTATTAACTCAGTTCTTTCCTGCCCTGTGCATTCATTCGGGCTCTCTGGGACTCACAGGCCAAAGCCAAGGTATGACTAGGGATGGACTCCAACTGGGGAGGAATCTTTGCCCAGTTTCATTCAGGCATTGGCAGAATCCAGGTCCTTGTGGTTGGAGGACTGACACTCAGTTTCCTTGTGGCATCAGCAGAGGCTGCTTGTTCACTGCT